TCCTCTGTTTGCACCCATTGGTGCAGCCCCGTGTCAGTCTGTCTTGTGGATGACCTTGCTCTTCCTCGCTGTCCCTCTACTTTATCAAGCACGATGTCCTTCTCCAGGGACTGGTCTCCGGACAGCATGTCCAAAGTACGGGAGACCAAGTCTCACCATCCTTCCTTCTCAGGAGCACTGCGGCCGTACTCCTCCCAGACAGGTGTGTTAGCTCTCAGGCAGTCCATGGTACTTCCAGGATTCTTTGCCAGAACCACAATTCACAGGAATGGACTCTTCTTCGATCTTCCTTATTCCGCGTCCGACTCGTGTGCGTAGGAAGAGATTGAAAAGACCCTGGCTTGGCTCAGGCGCATCTCAGTCCTCAAAGCAACCTCCTTGTTTTTCAACCCTTCAAAGAGGTCTTGGGCAGCAGATTAAGGAGCCCTGGAGCCATAAGGTTCAAGACCACCCCCCTTCCCTTGGGAAAAGATAGGGCTTACTGTCTCAGAAACACACGGGGCAGTTCTACACTGTCCTGTAAGGTCGCTGTGAGTCGGCATGGGCTCGATGGCTGTGAGCTCTGTTTGGGGGCTGGTACGGCACGTTTACCTTGGTCTGCTGTGTGTTTGGCACACGATGGTGGGTGAATGGAAGAATGAGTGCTCAGTGAGTGCGCTGCCAGGTGACTAGCCCAGGTGCCCGGGGCCAGGACCGACTGGAGCTCCTAAGGACAACATCTGACTGTCTGGAGATGACCCCTGAGCTATGCTCCCAACCCTACCTGTACCTTCTCCGTGAGTGTCACAGGCAAATGGAAGGCCAAGTCCGCTGGGTGTGAGTGCCCTGAGCTAGGGTAAAGGCTGTCGCCAGTCACTGCTGCCCCCTCCCCGGCCCGTGAGAACCACCCCCTGCCAGTGAGAAGCATTGGCACAGCAGTGTGTGGACCCAGTGGGCTCCTCAAAGCCTCCACAGGGCCCGAAGGAGCCCAACAGGCCAGGGAACCCCAGTTGAGCCTGCTCACTGGGAGGTGGGACAGCAGACCTGTCAGCCAACCTGGCCAGTGCCGGCCGCCTCTGCCTTCTCTTAAATTCCTCCTAACATTTGACAGGCAAGGGAAACTGAGTAATAAACTACCGTCGGCTGAGTGCCTAATACCTTTGGACACGCCACTGGGCCGGCTGAGGGTCCAGCAGGGCCAGGGGTCAGGGGCCAGGATTGGGGCCCACCAGCTGAATTTGAATCAGGCGCCCAGCCCGTGCCTGTGGGGGGGCCATCTGAGCTCACTACGCCCATGGGAGACAGTACCGGAGAGGGTGGGGAGCGGGAACAGGAACCTGGCACACAGTAGGTGCTCACTTGGTCACGGCAGACCCTTCCGGACCTCGCCCGCCCCAGGCTGAGGCTTCTGTGTGACATGCCTGTGACCTGTACCCCTGTCTGCCCGCAGCCGCCCTGGGCACGCTGGACTTCAGCCTGCTCTATGACCAGGAGAACAACGCCCTCCACTGCACCATCAGCAAGGCCAAGGTAGGCCCACCCCCAGCCACTCACCGGGGCCGGGGGTCAGGGGTTGGCAACCAGGAGGCAGGGGGGCGGGCTTCCTGGTTCTCTGGGGAGTGGGGGCAGGGTGGGGATTCTTGCCCAATCCACCCCACAAAGCCTGTGTGCGAGGCTTGTCAGGGAAAGAGTAGGACCAAGATGGGAGGGTGAGGATGGGGGCCAGGCCCCGGGAGCTGGGACAGACTGGGGGTGGGAGGAGACAGAGGGGTAAAGGATGGAGGTCTCATGTCTGCCCGGCTGCAGGGCGGGTCCTGCTCTGGCCGCTGCCCACGCTGTTGCCTGGGCTCGCCCTCTGGAGCATCAGGGTCCGTACCTGAGAGGCCCTTCAGATCCGTTTCCTGGGCCCGCCAAGGCCAGGGGGTCCCAGCCAGGCCCTCCGGGGTCTCTGGCTCTCCATTGGTGGCCCTGCCCCTGGGCCAGCGTGGTCAGCTCTGTGTTCTCAACTGCACTGTCCCTTGTCCTCCCGCTGGGCGAAAGGTGCCAAAGTTGATGTTCTCTCGAAAGGTAAGGGTAGCCGGATAGAACCTTGTAGACAAGCTGTATGTGGAGCTGAGGACCTGGACCAGTGCAGCTCGGCTCAGGATGCTTCCTGCTGAGCTGGCTGGGCCCAGACCTCCACCCCAACCTCCCCCCAACAAGCTTGCAGGCTCCCCTCCATCCTGCCTTCCCGCCCTCCCTCTGAGGTACTGCCCAGGACTCTGTTCAGCCTGGTGGCATCCTAGGCTCTGTGCTTGCCCCACCCAGGCCACTGGATCCAGAGGCTGCATGGACAGCGGTGAACACTGTCCACAAGGCTAAGCCCAGGCCTCGCCCCGGGGGCCTGTGCGTGCCACTCCTGCCCAGGCCTCACCCAAAGGACACCAGCTTTCCTGAAGGCTCCCAGTCGGCTGGGTACCAGGCTGTGGAGCTGGTGGCTGTGCCAAGGTGGAGGCCAGGCTGCAGAGCCCGGGCAGACCCTGCCCCCTTTCAGCCCAGCTTTGCAGATGTCCAGGCTTGGGAACTGGGGATGGGCGCTGTCTCCCAGGCCACTCTGGACAGAGTCTGTGCCCTCCCCTCTCGCCCCAGACACCAGGCCCTTCCTTATGCTGTGTGCCCGCCTCCCCTGCCTGGACTGGAGAGGGGTGGGGGGTGTAGAGATGCAGCCACGTGTGTGTGTGTGTGTGTGTGTGTGTGTGTCAGCCTGAGCACCCTGCACAGTTGGGGAAGATGGGGAACCAGGGCGGGTTGGCACCCCCTTCTCCGTGTCACCCTGCTCAGAGGCTGATGTGCAGGAAGGCGCTGCAGGCAGGAATATTGGAGCTGTAGGGTAGGAAGGGGAAGCAGAGTGGATGAGGGAGTTCTGGGGCAGGGGGTGGTCTTGGGCACAGCGGGACAGGCCCTAGCATGACCAGTACGTAGGGTTAACACCCCACACACACACACACACTGTGCAGCTGATGTCAGCACATGAGTTTGCACAGGCCTGATCGCTGTCCTCGGGAACACTGGAGCTAGCAGAGTGGCCAGTCCTGGGAGGGCGGCTTCAGCCTGGATCATCCCAGCACCCGCCCACACTGGTCCCTGCCCCCCTCTCTCTGTGCTAGCAGTAGGCTCTCCTTTAGGAGCGCCCCCTAAAACGCGGGACCATTTTTGCAGACCCGATAAGCCGTGGTGGAGGAGGAGGCCTTTGCATGAGAAACCCGCCCCCACCAGCCCCCTGACCTGGGAACCGCTCTCTGTGGGGTACAGAGTCTGGGTCAGGCTGGAGGGGGGCAGGGGGGTCTGGTTAGGAGCAGAGAGTTGCCTGTTGGGCACAGAGTGATGGGGGGCAGGGGTCAGAACAGTGACTCAGCCTCCCGGCAGTCCCTCTGGCTCCTCTGCTTCTGGCCCAGAGGGCCGCCCCCAGGTGTTCCGGGGCAGCCAGCTGGGGTGATGGGGTGATGGTGGGGCGGGGAGGGAGCTCCAGCAGGAGTCCAGGAGGGCAAGAGTGGGCATCCCTCTGGGCCCAGTTGTGCAGCCACCCCTCTGCCCCACCCCAGCCACTGGAAGCCTGGAGAGCCACTGTGTCAACATGGTGATCCAAAGATTTGGCCAATGAAAAGGCAAAAAACGTGAGCCCGTGAAAACCTTGTTAAGGCCAACACCAACCCCCCAGACCCACTGCGCTCTGGGTCTCCTCTGGCTCACAGCCCGGGGACAGGACAGAGAACTGGCTGCTCCTTCGGTGGCTCTTTCCTGAGCAGGAAGCCTCGTCTTTCACGTCCCCTTAGTCAAGGGTGCCATCTGGTGGACTTGCTGGAGGACTTGAACCGCCGACCTTGAGTTAGCAACCCGACTCTCCTCCCACCGTGCCACAACATGCTTACCAGAATTGGGAACCAAAGCATCGCCTGACTGCTGCAGCCCCGCTCAGGCCTGCACTCCCCCCCCCCAGGTGCGACAGGGCTGGGGAAGAGTGAGAAACCGGAACCAGGCCCCAGGACCGCAGCCCCTTGGTGTCCGTGCCAAGCCTGGGTGGTCAGAATTATTGTCCCCTTCCACCGATGATAAAGCCTGGTGGCGTCATGGGTTACGCACTGGGCTGCTAACCGCAAGATGGACAGTTTGAAGCCATCGGCCACCCTCAGGAGAAAGATGAGGCTTCCTACTCTGTAAAGACTTCCTACCTCGAACCCACCGGACCGGTCCAACTCTGACCTCTAAGGTCACTGTGGATCCAAATCAGCCCAGTGGCCGCGAGTTTGGGGTTTTACAGAAGATAAAGCCGAGGCTCAGGGGACAATATAACTCCTCCATTGACCCAGGCCCACCACCCGGTCCTGCGACATCCTCACGATTGTTCTTATATGGGAGGCCATTGGCGCAGCCCCGGCGTCCGTCCATCTCACGAGGGTCTGCCTCTCTCCCTGCCCCTCCACTTTGCCAAGCCTGATGCCCTCCTCCAGGGACGACTCTCTCGAGGATCCCTGGTGGTGCAATGGTTACACGTGGGCTGCAACCGCAGGTCGGCAGTTTGAAACCACCAGCCGCCTCTTCTGTGGGAGAAAGACAAAAGACGAGCTCGCTGCTTGGAGGTGGAGTGGGTCCCAGCAGGGAGGGCGGGAGCCGTATTCATCTTTGCGTGATGTCAGGGCTCCCTCTGGGCCCCCGCACCACCCCGTGTCTCGGGTACTGGCCCCAAAGGGGAAGGCGCCATGCTCAGAAACGGCAACCAGCCTGGGCCAGCTAAGCCGTTCTCTGTCTGTGGGGGTTCTTTGAGCAAGCACACTTGGCTGCCGCTTCCAGCAAAGTTAGGCAGGCCTGCCATCTGGTGGAGTGACCCTCCTCAACTGGCCTGCTCGGTGGCCTGCCCAGTGAGGGCTGGCAGAGCTGGCAAAGGCAGAGAAAGTGGCTCCTGGTCCCTGGCAGTCTCTGGGGTTGCTGCTGTGTGATGGAGCAGGTGGGGTCCGTGAGGGAAGTGTGTCCAGGGGAGGCTGGGGAGGGGAGGGGTGCATCTGGAGACTGGAGGAGGAGAAGGCCGCCTCATGGGGGAGGCTGCCCCGGACCACCCACATCATCTCCACCGTCCCCACTCACCTATCCTGGGAGTGGGGGGGCCCTGGGGTGTCTATGCAAAGAGCCCCGGAGGGACCCAGCCAGGAGGCCCAGGGGAGCGGGACCTGTCCTGAGTCAGGCTTCTGGGGCCCCAGCTGCGCTTGGCCTGGCTCTGTCTCACGCTCTGCCCTTCTCTGCTCAGGGCCTGAAGCCGATGGACCACAATGGGCTGGCCGACCCCTACGTCAAGCTGCACCTGCTGCCGGGAGCCAGTAAGGTAAGGATGGCCCTCAGGCTACCTACCCGCTCTGCCCACCACTGGAGCTGGGGCCTGGACTGAGCTGAGGGACACCCGGCCGGGGCGGGGGTGGGGGATCTATACCTGCACAAGCACCCAGTCAGCACCACCACCTGCTGAGTGGGGGGGATGGCCTCCCCGCCAGGGAACTTCCAGCCCAGCTTCGGACAAGCAGCGTCCCCATTGGAAGATCCACATTGTGTGAAAACCTCGGGCTGCGTGGTCGAGGGCATGTCTGCCAGCCGAGAGGGTGCTGGTCTGAAATGAGCAAGTGTTGCAGAAGAAAGGTGTGGCCTCTGCTTCCATGGGAACCCCCGGGGCCGGTCTGCTCTGCCAGGGAGGGTCGCTGGGAGTTGAAATGGATTAGATTATCAATGGATGTGTACACACACACACACACACACACACACACACACACCCTCAACTGCTTTCTTCACTATAGGACTTATCTAAGCCTTTAATGAGTCGCTGGACTGAACTGTGGCCCGCACCGAGTGGGGGTGGGGGAGGGCGATGGCATGGGCAGCGTCTGTCTGCCTGATGTTGGTGGCCACAGTGATGTCTGTGGCCACAGAGCTCTGGTTCATGTGCCTCGTGCCCAGAGGCTGGCCACACCCCTGTGGGCACCAGCAACATCTGGGAGAGACGGAGCAAAGAGGCGCTGTTTTCTTTCAGACCGATTTCTGGCATTCAGGGTCATGTGGGAAGCCAGGATTCGTCCCGTTGGCCCCCAGTGGCTCGCTGAGTTATTGTTTTTACGTGTGGGGCGGGGGGCATCCCTGGCGGTCAGAATCGGACTTGCCTGGGACACGCAGAGCACCTCAGGGCAAGCAGGGCTGCAGCCGGTCCCTTCGCTTCCCAGTGGAGCTCAGGTTCCAAAGGGAGAAGGGGGAACCCAGCAAGACACAGGAGCCAGAGGGCGCGTCAGGGCCGGACTGGGCTTCCAGTCCCAGCCTCTCCGTGGCAGCAGGCAGCCTGGTCTTTCTCCCGAGGAGCAGCAGGTGGGTTTGAACCATTGAGCTTTCGGTTAGCAGACCAATGCTTACCCCACAACGGTGTCCTTACAAACTCAACACCAAACCCAGCTCCGTTCAGTCGATCTGGACTCCTAGCCACCCTGCAGGACAGGGGAGAACGGCCCCTGTGGGTTTCTGAGGATTTATCTCCTGACAGGAGTAGGAAGCCTCGCTTCTTCCCCCGCACAGAACCACTGAGGGTTCAAACTGCTGACTTTGTTGTTAGCAGCCCCGCGTGTAACCCCTGCACTGCCAGGGCTCCTGTCCTTACGAACGAGAGTCCTGAGAACGGTGCTGACAGAGGGTCCGAGTGCTGGCTTACGGGGAGGACCCAGGCCCCACCAGTGCTGTCTGACCACCTGTGACAGGCCGCAGAACAATCAGACTGGGAGCTCCGGCTCTGGCAGAGGGGCAGAGGAAGGGGTGGAAGCAGGAGTCTTGCTTGGCCAGCAGCCCGACAAGGGTTTCTCTCCCGGGCAGGCACGGGCAGTTTCTCAGACGCCTGCAGGATTCCCAGGGGGCCCTGGGGGCGCAGTTGGCCATGTGTGTTTCCTGTTGCTGCTGTCACAAAATACCACAAACGTGGCCGCCTAACACACGTCTGTGTAGTTTCTCGCAGTTGTGTTGGTTAGCAGAGTGACCCAGACCTCCTGGGGCTAAAATCAGGGTGTTGGCAGAGCTGCTTTCTAAAGGGAGAATCCATTCCCTCGTCTCTTGCGGCTTCTTGAGGCGGCCCACCTTCCTTAGCTCGCAGCCCCTTCTCCCACCTTCAAAACCAGTATTGTCCTGTCTCTCCGGCTCTTTTTCCAGTCACATCTCCCTCTGACACCTGCTTTCAAGGACCTTTGTAATTACACACAGCGTCCACTAGGTGGGGCCCGAGGCTAACGGGATGGGCCGCTCCAGTGAGGCGAGAGGGTGGAGTCCTCCCAGAGGCACTCGGAATAAAGGCCTGGCGGTCTGCTTCCGAGTCGTCAGCCCCTGAGAACCCCGTGGAGCACAGTGGCCTGACAAGCACGGAGTTGCCTTGAGCCAGAGTTGGCTTGGTGGCTCCTGGTTTGTGATTATGTTGGGCACCCCCCCAGCTCCTTGAGGATGCTCTCCCAGCTGTCAAGGCCGCTGCTTAGCAACCTGCCCAGTAGCTGCAGCTGACATCCCTGCTTTAATTCCATCTTCCCAGGTACTGGGGATTAGCTCAGGGACACCTCTGGGGGTTATATTCTCTCTCTCTCTCTCTCTCTCTCACACACACACACACACACACACACACACACACACACCCTGCATGCTCATGGCATCTTTTTTCTCTGTCTCCAGGCAAATAAGCTCAGAACAAAAACTCTCCGTAACACTCTGAACCCCACGTGGAATGAGACACTCACTTACTACGGGATCACGGACGAAGACATGATCCGAAAGACCTTGCGGTGGGTGGAGCACGGTGCACACCCCCCACCCTACCCCCATACACACACAGCTGTAGGGGCGGGCCGAGATCTGAAAGGCCCCTGCTGGGTGAGGGCATGTTGCATCAGCCCCCCCACCAGCCTTAGCCACAGGGGCTGACCCTGAACCACAAGACCCTGTGATAGGTGGGGGCCTAGTGATGCTGCCTGACCCCTACCCTTGCACCCTCACCCCACCCCATCCCCACTCCCGGCCCAGCATGGGCCCCAGGGCTGACTCTGACCCATGAGACCCTGCTGTGGTTAGGGGCCACGTGCATGTTCCCCCACTCCACACCCCTTCCACCACGGCCTCTAACAACCAAACAGGGAAGCCCAGTCCCGCTGAGGTGCGCGCGCGCTCTTGCCCCCCAGCATCTCCGTGTGTGATGAGGACAAATTCCGCCACAATGAATTCATCGGGGAGACGCGAGTGCCCCTGAAGAAGCTGAAGCCCAACCACACCAAGACGTTCAGCATCTGCCTGGAGAAGCAGCTGCCGGTGAGTGGGCCGGGGGCTCAGCCAGCCTCGGCGTCTGCAGACCCACCTGGGGCCCTTCTGCTCTGAGCTTGGGTCGGGAGCAGTTCCTGAGCACCTTCTGTGACCTTGGGGGTGGGTACAATAAAGACCTCCTGAAGCTTGGCCAGGAGACAGAGCACAGACACAAATCATCCAAATAGAGTGCCAGTCTGATGGGCTCCGGATCAGGAGCGTGCCCAGGAAGGGGAGCAGGGGGCTGGAGAGAGTGACTGACTTGGGCGGTTGTCCAGAGGACACAGGGGCAACAGGGGGCACTCGCCTTCCATGTGGGAGGACCAGCATTCACAGCCAGTGCCCCACCCCTCTGTGATGCTGAGCAGAAGAGCTTCCCAAACCGATTAAATTACTCAGCCTTCCCCCACTCAAGCAATTGCAAACTTTTGAACGTGGCCCAGGCTCCAGGATAAAGTGCAGGTATCTGCTTCTGCAGCTCCCCTATAGCCGTCTGCACGGATGCCACCGATGGCAGAGTTTGGTGGGGCTGCATGATTCCGGCACCACCACGCCCAACCAGGGGGCAGTGTCACCCACTTGGGGAAATGCGGTTCTAGGCTAAGACTAGGTAGAGAGGCCTGGCGATCCTCCAGGAATCAGCCAGTGAGAATCCTGTGGGTCCTAACAGTCTGACCTGCAACCGATCGTGGGGCTGGAGCAGGACCGGGCTTGGTTTGGGTGGGTGGGTGTGAGGTCGCGTGAGTCAGGGACCACGCTGACCTCAGCCAGCAACAATGATCACACACACACACACACACACACACACCCTGCA